GATCCCAACTCCTCACAATAGTATCTCACATTCCTTTAGCCCCCAAACCCTTCCCCACGTGACCCAATGTTTAAAAAAAAAATCTTTTGCCAAAATGCCCTCAAACAATAGGTCACTCTATCAAGCCGATTATCGGAGAGTGAACAGCAATACTGTAGGCATTAAATGTTGATTAGAAAGTGAATTTGGAGGAAAAAACACAATTTCCCTCCAAATTCTAACAATTTCCTTTCCTCCCCCGCAGTAAATTCATCTCCTCCCTCCTTTGCTTACCCCAACCACTCTCTCTCGGCCACTTAGTTCTCCACAATAAATCCTCTTTGATTCTTCAACTACTCTTCTTTAAATTGACGGATGGATCCCTTCTTTTTATGGTTACAAACATAAAATGCAACGAAGAGGGTGAGTGTGTCTTCGTAGTTATCAACAAGTCTATAGAAATCAATAGCTTGAAATATCAAGCGTCCCAAATGCTTAAACTACCATTGTAATCTCTTTCACTGAAATTCATATCCGAAAGGAAAAAAAAGTTTAATATTTCAATTGATAATGAACGTTCAAGTAGCTCTCAAGCTCGCCCACAAGCCTGTCAGTCTCGCCTTAACAGTGCAAGTGGTTGCTTGCTTGTGGGAGTGGGCCTACCCACTTCCCACATCTTGGGTAATGAGGCATGACTCCTATCACCCCTATAGTGGTCACATCTCCTAGCTATAGGGGAAGTATGTTACTCCTTACTCCTATTAGTGGTCACATCCTACAAATCAAGGGATGGCTCATGTCATCCATTGCCTATTTATAGGACCCATTTGCCAACATGAAAGGGGTTCGGCTGGTTCAACTTACAAATTGGATAGAGAAGCTTGGCATTTCCAAGACTCTTCAAATAGAGGTCTTCATTGGCTTGCTTGGTGGAACTTTCCTAGCTTTTCGCCTGAATTGTTGAAGTAGACTCAATCTGAACTCTCAGATTTGAGACTCTTGGCTCTTTTGTAAACTCTTGCATATTAGCCTTCTCCAAGCATTCAACCTTGATACTCATCAAGCTCGGGTATTTATCGAACTCAATCACATCAGAGCTTCTATTGTATACTAAAGCTCAATCGTAACTTCGATCGGATCATCCAAGAGAAGCAAACTCAACGCAAGCATTCGGGGGAGATATCCTATCGCTACCGAAGAACCCATGCTAAAAAAGGAGAGCCTTCTCTCGGCTTGTGTTGTAATTTTAATTCTTAATTTGTAATAAGTCATTCTTATCAATACAAATCTCTATTGAGAACCAATTTTACGCACGTACACCTATCCATATACTTAACATTCAATCCATATACTTAACAATCAATCTCTAACCTTAACAACAAATCCCTAACATTAACAACCAATCCGTAATCCTAACAATCAATCTCTAACATTAACAACTAATTTGTAATTTTAATAACTATGCAATATAATTCTCAAGTAATAAAAAATGGATCTAACATGTAAAAGTTTGCAGCTCCATCGTTGGTCTGGACACCTCTCCTGTCAGCATCTTATTGTTGTATATAGTGAGGCTGCTGCATCGTGCATTGCTCAGCTCATCTCTCAGCCTTCTCACTTGTGCAGACAGAGAAGCCACTTTTACAGATAAAGAAGTTATCTCTAGTCGGTCGGCAGCAATCTGATCTTTGAATTTCTTCTCATTGTCGTGACGTAATTTTTGAATCATTATCGCGATCCTCTTCTAATAGCTCACTTGCTGAGACAATTCCATTTGATCAACTACCTCATTGTGCTGCTCAACCGCTTCATCAATATTATGTGGTATAGTCTATGCAATAGATAGATAGAGTATTATTAAAAATAATAATTAAAAACTAATAGACACCATTAACAAGACATTTATTATTCATAATTATTGCAATGCTTACTCATCCTTCAAGAATGTTATTATCTTCTGATCTCCTTTTCTTTTGGGAAGAGGTTGTCTTGGGCCACGTGCCCTATCGGTGTCTCTTGCAGTCGATTCCTTATTCTTCTCCTTCTCTCTCTCTCTCTCTCTCTCTCTCTCTATATATATATATATATATATATATATATATATATATATATGAGGAATATGGGTATACTTGGGCCAAGGATCCTTGGTAGTGATGTGGACACATCTTGTCCATACATCACACCTTGGAGTGGGGTGAGGCTCCATCTTCAAGGTGTGATGTATGGACAAGATGTGTCCACATCACTACCAAGGATCCTGGTACCAATATACCCATTCTCTCTCTCTCTCTCTCCTCTCTCTCTCTCTCTCTCTCTATATATATATTATATATATATATATATATATTTATATATATATATATATATGAGATTAATGTGTATCACTGTCATATGAGGCGGGATTTCCTCATTGACTGCCTCTAAAATCACATGATTGAGCGACATTATGAATTGATCCGTTCCGTTAAACTTGATCTACATATTCTAACAACCCCAACACAATAAGTTTGGGGTGAACCCATCGTCGTTTGACCCTCATCCACTCGTATCAAATTTTAACGGTTTTGAATGAATAGAACTTTTCACATGGCTCGATGGAGGGGGCAAACGACGCACGGATTCACCCCCAACTTGTGTTTGGGGTTTTAGAATATGCAGATCAAGTTCAACATAGCGGATCATCCATAATATCGCTCAATCATGTGATTTTAGAGGCCGTCAAGGAGGAATCCCTCCTATGACAAGGATACCACTTAATCTCTCTCTCTCTCTCTCTCTCCTCTCTCATATATTATATATATATATATATATATATATATAATATATATATAATATATATATATATATACGATATATATATATATATATATATCTTTCTTCTTTTATTCTTTTTTCTTCTTCTCTTTCTCCTTCTCTTGCCCCTTCTCCCGCAAACCTCCCTCAAGACTTTGAACTTGGCCCCGGAACTGTGAAAGCTTTATAGTAGCTTGCCTTGCTTTAGTTACAACAGTGGCAAATCTTAGGGATCCCACAACATTTCCTAGTTTTACCCAATTTGTGAGGGGAGGCCGCGACATACTTCCCAATACTGTCCCCTTAATGCTAGTAAGTTCATAGTATCATAGATGCACATGAAAAAAATAGAATCTTAATAACCACCCTTTTACCTTAAAAATAAATAAGCAACCATAACAACAAATCCTAACATTAATAATTACCTTGTAACCTAAACAATAAATCCGCAACATTAATAGCAAACTCGTAATCTTAACGACCAATCTGTAACCTTAACAATCAATCTGTAACATTAACAATAAATAAACAATCATAACAATAAAACCGTAACCTTAACAACAAACTTGTATACAAAACAACTACCAACTATACTTAAGAACTAAACCCTAACCTTCACAATCAATAACGCATAAAATTTACTCATTGCTCTAAACAATAAAAAGTAGGAATACTTACACAAACAAGCTGGGTACACTTTTGCAGATATACAATCTTCTTTCCTAGTCTACGACCATTCAATGTCTTTTCAATAGCATCAATTGTCTCACTAGATATATAGGTCCCCCAAGCAGTGTTATTTGCCTATTCGATGCTGTCAACATAGTTGAACAAATGCCTTGATATGTTAAGAACACTGTTTGGACACTAGATCATGCTCATACTAGTAAAAAATCGTGTATTCTAGACGGAAAATTTTTCGTCTAGTTTGATATTAAACTAGACGAAAAATTTCCGTCTAGAATATTCCGTCTAGGATAAATCATTCTAGACGAAAATTTCCGTCTAAAATAATATTCTAGATGGTTCTTGTATTTTTAATTTTTTTTAATATAATCAGTTATCCCGTCTAGGATACATCCTAAACAGAAATTTCCGTCTAGAATGTTTAGGCTCAGATTAAAAAACGCAATTCCCCTCCCCCTAAAATCAAAATCGCCCCCAAAGTTTCAGCCCAAAATCCTCCCCCTTCTACTTCTCCTTCCCGACCTCAGCCCTCCACTCCTCCGCCCTCTACAGCCTCTCCTCCCCCTTCTCCGGCGACCTCACCCTCGACCTCCGCTCCTTGACCCTCTCCTCCGCCATCGACCCCTCCACCTTCTCCCCGATCCCCTTCTCCCTCTCCACCGAAACCCTAACCCTGACCCACGCCTCCTCCTTCGGCCCTCTAGAGGCTGAGACGCCTAAATTCGGCGACTTCGAGGTTATTTAGCTCAACTCCCGCCTTTTGCCCTCCATCTGATCGGGCGGGACCCACGGTCGAAGCTTCCAGAGAGCCCGTACAGCGCGCCTCAGTCTGTGGGGGATATTGATCCTAAGGCGATCTCGAGGGGTCATCACCTTTCTTTTGGCGTTTCCAATTATGAATATTTCGTCAAAACCCTGAAGGTGATTTTTTTAATTACTTTTTTAGATGATGGTGATCGTAATTTGTATGACATCAAGTTATTTTAGGGGGAAATTTCAGGAGAAAGTGATTAATACATTTGAGAAGACGCAGCCTGATGGAAAAACGAAGCAAGTGTTCTTTGATCCAGATGGTGAGTTGTATTCAGCTATGCACCAAAAATTTTCGTTCTTAAGATTTTTGTGTGTGCCATTGATTGTTTATATTTTAATAGTTCTCATTTATTTTTCTGTATAAAAAAGTTTTTTGTGAAAAAATAATCATGGTATATTTAGGAAGCTCGCTTCATTTAGTTTTTACACGATTGACAGGCACATGATTATGTTTTTGTGGCAGTTTATTATTTTCGCAATTAGATGCATTGTACTAAGATGGAACTTGCTTACTTGAAAATCATAGTTCATTGGTGTAAAATTAGATTGAGGGGTCAGCTTGGATGTAATATTACAAATTATGACATCTTCTCTCTGCATGAAGATAAATGTATTAAGAAAAGGTAATAAAATCAAACGATATCGATAGAGTTCTTTATGGACTCGATGTCGGGGTTTACTCAGTTTACAATCGAGCAGGCGACGATCTCGAGCAAGCTGTGTCTTGTTGGTGATGTTCCAAGAATCAGAAGGTGAGTTTGTCTTTGATTTCTTGGTAACATTAACATGGTCTTGTGAATCAATTTCTTGGTTATAACAGATTTATTAATATAGAGCAGGCATGGTATATTACTCTGTTTCTCACAAACTAACCAGTGCAATTTTATACGGATTAAAACTAGCTAATACACCAACTTCGGAAAAATTAAGGTATGGTACATAAGGGCTGTAAGAGAACTAATTTTATTTCGTATGCAACAGATTAAAGTCATCAAAAGACTTACACTAAAAAATAATGCTCTAGAAGTACAAACATGCTTCATGCTTTTTCTTATGGTCCTTGAGAAAATAATTTTCTAGTATAATACATGTTTGTTGCTTTCCTGGCGTTTACGAATCTGAGATGCAGTTGGCTGATATTTTGTTTCCTTACATTCTATCTAGATATGAGGACGGAGTGACTACCTTGTTGAAGGTCGGTTTAGTTTCATATTTTATTTGGTCCGAGAACCCTCTCAATATTCTTGGTTCTGTTGGTCAATTATCTTTTGAAGATCCAGCTTGTTCATCTATTAAAGATAATGAATTAACAACAGAGGAGGTATCACATGTCCTTTATTATTGTTGTTGGTAGGAGATAGTTTGTTAGCAGTGCATGTCTTCCCTCACATTTTGATTTTCTTGCTTGTTTTTCAGATTAAATCTTTATGCGAGGATTTATATGTCCTGGATAAACATGGCTTTAAGCAACTCTTGAAGTAAGTTTTTTATTCTTCTGTGATTTTATTGTTCCTTCTTTATTGCGGAAGTGGTCTATAATTTCCGGAGATATATTATACTTCAGTGTTGGGGAGGGTATTCCAGTTCATACAATTGACATGCTTTTTTTCTTGGTCTGTTACAGTATATTGTTTTGCTTACATTCCCTAAAAATTGCAGGGACACGATGTTGCAAGAATCTCAAAAACTTATCAATCGAAACCCGTCGGAAATTTACTTGAATGATGCCTATCCATGTAGTATGTTTTAATGTAATCTTTTTATTTAAGTGAACAATTTTTGAGTTGGTCTGTAAATAGGTTTCTTCTATCAGTGAATAATTTGGAATAATTTTTGTTTGCGATGGATGTTGTTCTATTAATATATATGCTCATACAAAGGATTTTTCCCCCCTTGCGATGGATGTTGTTCACATTAAGGATTTTTGCTTGCGATGGATATTGTTCTTGGTATCCACTGATTAGGTTCACTCAAAAAAAAAAAAAAAAAACTACTGTAGCATAGCATCCTAAACGGAAATTCCGTCTAGGATGCTCAAATTCCGTCTAGGATGCTTTTTTTATGAAAAAAATTAAAAAACATCCTAGACGAAAAAAAATTTCGTCTACGATGTAGTGTTCTAGATAGAAATTCCGTCTAGAATACTCCATCTAGGATGTATTCTAAACGGTTTTGAATTCCGTCTAGAATAATCCGTCTAGGATGTATTTTAGACGGAATTTTCGTCTAGAATACTACATTCTAGACGGAAACATACTAGACGCGTATTCTAGACGGAATTCCGTCTAGGATACGCATCCTAGACAGAATTCTGGGTATCCTAGACAGAATTTTTCGTCTAGGATACCTCATTATTTAGTAGTGTTAGCTGATAGAGGATCTGTAGCAGGACAAAGTTTTTCACATCTTGATGATCAATTGATTGTACAAGCTTTGTGAGTAGATCCTCAACATGGCGTCTGGTGGGTGCTGGAGGAGGAGCTCTGTTGTCACCCTCAGGTTTGGTAAAAAACATTGACAAAATTTGATTTTTCCTATCTCGGTTTGGGCCAACAAGGTCCCCCTCATTGGAGAACCATGTATGGCTCATTACTCAATCAAGATTGAATGAGTACTCGATGTCTTCTCTAGTTTTTGTATCAGTGAAGATAAATTTCATCTTTTTCTCGTCCCACTATCTCAGCATGTGCTCAAAAGTGGGAAAATCGGCCAAAATAAATGTAGTGTCTGAATACACTATTTTTGTAGGTCTCCCAGTGCCTTTGCCCCATATGCTGCACTAAAGTATGTATGAATTCATAGTACGCAGTACAGCTAGAAGTAGGCTGCAACTCTTATGGGGACTTTGCCTTTTGTCTACAAAGCAAAACCACAAGACATAATTAGTTTGAAAATAATCTGTAACCATAACAATTATGTTGTAAACTTGATAAAGAAATTGTAAATCCATAAGCTTCATAACCAAAGCCTAACCTCAACAACCAATCAATAATCTTAACAATAAAAGCATAACCCTAACAACTAACATGTCAAAAGTTAACAGTAATATTCATAGCTAATAGCCACAAGTCAACGGTAACCTCCACAACTAACAGCCACCCATCAACAGTAACCTTCACAACTAACAGTCGCATGTCAACAATAACATTTACAACAGGCTCATAACCTTAACAACTAACGCTTAACCTTAACAACTGAACAATAATATTCACAACGGATCCATAACCTTAACAACTAATGCATAACCTTAATAATTAATGAAGTTCCTTGACAACTACAAGCTAACATTCATAACTTAATAGTAACATTCACAATTAACACAACATGCAACATCATAAACAACTAAATTTTACTATAAAAATTACTTTTTGTGTGATGTCGTATGCGTCTCTTTAGGTCCTCTTTGTAGATCCACAAGCGCTCTAGAGGCATCGTCGGTGCCGGTGCTGCCCTCTAGATCTGTGTGCTAGACTGGCTTTTTGGATTGAGCTGGACTTGTGAGGGTGAGAATGACTGGCTATGATGTCCTCTAGAACATCAGCAATTGATGTGCCAGCTTCAGTCTACTCTGCTACGTTCGAATCTTTTTGAGACGATGTACTGTGACGTGTCGTCGTCTTCGCTAATTTCGACATGGACGATTGCTTTGGGAGTTGACTTGGAGGCCATTTTTTCGACCAGGTTAAGCTCTGGAGTGGGTTGATTTAGGGTTAGGGTTTTGCAATGGGGATGGTTGGTTCGCTTGGACAGAAGAGAAATGAGATGGCACGATCGACGATGAGTAGTATTGATAAGTGTGAGGCGGTTAAATCAAAGGGCATTTTGGGAAAAGTAATTTGTTTTTAAACATCGGGTCACGTCGAGAAGGGTTTTGAGGGCTAAAGGAATGTGAGATACTGTTGTGAGGGCTTAGGGATCATTGAAAAAGTCTTTGGGTGCGGGGATACTTGTAAAGGAATTGAGGGCTAAAAGCAATTTTCCCTTATATTTATCTCCTAAAATATAACTATAGAAATATTTGTTCTGTTTTAGTTTTAACTTTTAAGTAATTTTGACAATGGAGATTGCGATGTGAAACCCTTCGAGAAAAGTCATTAATTAATAATATGGGAGAGATAACAACTTGTATAAGGCCTTGTTCCTTATAAAATTAAGGGCAGCGCTTGGAATTGTTGCTGCAAACACCTCTATAAACAAATGCATTTGCTCTAACTGTTATATGTATGATGAAGGAATATTATATGTGTTGAAAGAATTAAACAAATGTTTGAAACAAAATAAGTTATAGATAACCTCTTCATCTATATCGTCATGAATAACTTTTGTTTTAGATAAGTCCCTTCAATAGCACTTATTCTCTCAATTTGGTTATTAGCAATTTATCATCCCTGCTTGGCATCTTACATATATAGGATAAGTTGCAAATAATCCTTTCTTCCCACTTAATAGATAATAAGTCATTTGCAAATAATCCTTTTTCGCAAAGGATAAGTTACAAATAATACACTTATTCCCTCAATTTACATTTTTTTTTTGGGTATGCTCTGGCTCGTGCTTACAGACCAAAAGTTTTATCAAAAAAATCCACCTGGTTCTATATGTTCCAATAAACCCAAAACACAAAGTTTGTTTACGTTTTAAACCCGAAATAGAGAGTCCAAAATGTATAGCTTGTATACAATATGGTATGCAGCTATATATCCAAAGAATGTAACTGTATACCATATATTATGTAGCTATACATCTGATAGTAAGTAGTTATACACCCCACCATATGCAGCTATACACTTGGTAGTCTATATTTTAGGTTTAATGGTAAACAAACTTTGTACAGTGGGTTTATCGGAACGTATAAGAACTAGATGGGCTTTGTGATAAATGAGAGCAAACTTCGGACTTAAAAGCAAAAAAACCACAAAAAAATCTAGACACTACGTACAAAAACATCCGCACAACCTATGGATATATACGTCAACCTTAATTTTAAAACTGAAGAATTTTTTGATTTAAACCCATTCCACCTTTTTATTTTACAAACCGACCGACTTTTTTTTATTTAGCGGAATCGACCCACTTCTCGGCAAAGGGAGTCGGTCGATTCCGGTAAAAAAAAGTTGAAATGGGTTTAAAACAAAATTTTATTCTTTAAAACTGGAACACGCTCATTCTTGGTGCAGTTTTTTTCTCTTTTTCCCCCTTTTGGCAAAAAAAGACCACAATCAATAAAGTTTTTATAGCCCAAAATTTCTCTTTTTATCTTCTGTTCAAATTAAAATTAGTTTAGAATAAAAATTAGGCTAATACCTAATCCTCGCCCAGTTTCCCGTGGGTCGTCGAACGCATTTATGTAAGTCTCGTAAAAATTTACGCTTCAGAGTGTTCTGGTCACATCAAATCCCCCAAAATTGCCACAGAAGTCAAAAACAAATGCCGCATCCCCCTCGCATGGATTTATTAAAACTACTCATATAATGTGTACCTCATCAAATCACATTTTCAATTGCCGAGACTAAATTTTTAGCCACACGGTCGCCATGACAAAGGCCAGCCGGCCACGCTCGATTCACGTGGACCCAATTCCGTGGCCGATGAGCTTTTGGCGGTTGAGACAGTGAGGTGTCAAATTTTAAGTAGAATTCTATGGGTTTTTATTTTATTTTATTTTATGTCTGTTGTTTTATTAGGGGGTTTGGTCGGTAGCTTTGCCTTTTTGGGCTGGCTTGTGGGCTCGTGGGCGTGGAAGGCCAGTTGTGTCCTATCATTGGCACGTTTTTTTAAGGAGTTGGTGTAAGCCTTGATTTTGATTATATCATTTAGTTTAATTATGATTACGTACGACAACTTTTAAGAGCATCTCCAACAGCTTTCTTATTTTTTACTTTTGGAGAATTTAGTTAGGTTTTTGGTCCAACAGATTCCCCGTATCATTCCCCAAAATAGGGATGAAGGAGAAAAAATAGTGAAACTATCTCAAATCTGCAGTATTCTCCAAATTTTTGGAGGAAAAAAGAGATTCTTCAAAATGGGGAAGCTGTTGGAGTTGGTGTAAAAATTAGTTGGGGAAAATGACTTTTGCTTCCCCATTTTGAAGAAAATTTTGGAGAAGCTGTTGGAGATGCCCTAATAAGTTTTTTGTCCGCGAGTCTTCCACGGTGAATATCTCATCACCCCATCACCACTATTTTAATTTAATAAAACCCCCTTAAATTTACATATTATAAATAACCACATTCTACTATAAAAGTTGGAGAAACGCTCTCTATGGCATTTCTCACAACACCCTCCCAATCTTTTACAAATTTGTCACTAAGCCTCTGGATGTTATTTCATAATATAAAATGATTGATTTTTTTAAAAAATCAACCCATTTAGTTAGAAATAAACCACCAATTTGTCTACATGAGTTTTTTCTTTAATCTATACTTAAATACGGATAGTTATAATCTAATAAAGATTACAAAATATTTCATTAGTAGAATTTTCTAGTTATTATAATTCTAATTTAATAAGGATTCTTTGATGAATATATTTCTATATTTAAATACATGATTATGAGCTTTTATTAAAGTATAGATAATTATAATCTAATAATAATTTACTAAATATTTAACTATTAGAATTTTTTCATTATAAATAATTTAAATTTAATAAGAATTCTTATGTAAATATAAAATTTAGTGTCCATTTATCATCTTCTCACAGAATATTTGTGCCTTTACAATACTACACGTGTCAATATTAACTAGATTGTGATGGGTAGAATTGAGGAGAAAGTTCAAGAAATAAATGGGCATGTCACATGAAAGATAATATTGGGCACTCTTCTAGCTATTTGGTGGGGGTGTACTAAAATTTTCAACCAACTCCTAAAAAGTATAAAATTTACAAAAAACACTTTGAAATAAATTAAAAAATTGTAAAACACTCGTGAAAATCTAAAATTAAAAAATAACTACTAAAATTTTTAAAATTGTAAAAAAACACAAAAAAATAAATTACAAAACCATCTTGAAACTAGAAATTTACGAACCGTTGAAAATATGAAAATGGCAAATGAGCCTTGAAAATTTTCAAAAGTTGCCAAAAAACACCCTGAAATTTTAGAAAATTATTAGAGTTGTTTGTAATTCTTTTTGGGGGGGTGTTGTGCAATTTTGGAAAGTTTTAATGTGTTCTTTGTAAATTTGGATTTTCATGGTCTTTTATAGATTTAAGATTCTCACGGGCTTGCTTGTAATTTTATAAGTTTTTGGGGTGCTCTTGTATTTTAAAAATTTTTGGGTGTTTTTTTGCAACTTTTGGCTTTTCAAGAGTTTGTGAATGTTAGATTTTTGGGGGTTGTTTAAACTTTTTGGGGTATATTTTGTAATTTCAAATTCTTAGAATGTTTTTTTATAAATTTTGTTGTTTTTAAATATCAGATTTTTAGAATGTTTTTTTTGTGTTTTCTATTTTCATAGGGCCTTTTTTCTCTTGGTTTAACCATCACCTCATGCTTTTCACCGTGATAACATTATAATTAGTAAAGCAAGGAAGACTGTAAATAAACCTAAGATAATTTGATTAAAAACATCTAAAAATATAAGATAATAATTAGTTAACTTAACGAAAGAGATAAACCTTAAATAGATCCCATAAAAGCCAGTCCAAAAACCAGAAAAAAACTCTGTTGTTCTTTTACCATCTCATAAGTCTCGTGGACACTGCAATTTTTCACTCTCATGATATAAAATCTAGAAGTTTTTTTTTTTTTTCACTTGAAACCAGGTTATTGTTGGAATTGCTAGGGGCAATTGTGTAACTCTTTATTGGAGAAAGTAGCCGTTGGCTGTTTCGTGAAGCACCCTCCATCCTCCTTTTTCACAATTGACGAGTCAAAAGTGTACTCCACCCAAGCTTTCCGCTTTCTACAGCAGTCATCTCTCTGTTAGATACTACCAAATTGCCGTCCAAAAATTTACTGTAAACTTTTTTTTTTCTCATTAACCGTTGGATTTTTTTTAGCTTTCTTGTTTTTCTTTGTGCTAGAATAGGATGATTTGGTCCCCAGCATGCATAGCTGGATATGGACAACATAAAGTAATTTTTCTGTTAATTTTCTTGTCTGACTTTTTAATGTGCCTAAACTTTTGTCACGACAAAAATAGATAAAGCTGCAGACCCAGTTGTATATAGGTGCATATACTTACAATGAATTAGTTTATTTTTTTTTGGATATTTTCCTATGAATAAGAGTAAAATCAGAGTATATTATTTCTCAACGTCATTAAGAACCTGAATATTTTCATCAATTATAATCTTATGGCTTCTGATAATTAACGCATTTAGTGACATTTGTTGTACATGATCATGCCATTTTAATTAATCATCTCTTAATTTACCTTTAAACTCCTATTAATAGGTTAGGTTATTATTCCTTCTTCTAGTGTGTCTGTATGTCTAACCAAATGAGATGCTAAGGAGTGATGATAATGCTCTTTATAACCCTAGTCAATTTAAAAGAAACCTATCTTTTAAAATATCTTTTAAAATTAAAATTTATCTCCGCAAGTCCTGCTGTGCCTCTTAAAGTTGATATATCCAAAAGAACAATAAGACATTAAAAGAGATCATGTTATTTTAAATCGGAATAAGAATAAAATGCTCTATAAATACCTCATTAGACAACTCTACAGAGATAATCATTGATGATATCCTCTTCCACATTTCTAATAAAAAATCCAACACTGACCAGAAACTGACGCTGATATGTGAGTAGGCAATAAACCCACATGCTGGTCTCATAACAGATAAGCCCCCTCTGGCCCACACCCTTTAATTAATCTCCATCAGTACTCACTAATCTTAAAAATTAGCTTTAATCACTAGTCCCTTATTTCTTTTTGGGTGAATTTCACAAAACCCCCTGGACTTTAATTAGGGGTTTTTGCATAAAGCCTCCACAAACTTTATAAATTAGAAAATACTTTCCATACTTTCAAAATTAGTTGAAACTCTAAACTACTGTAAAATCTCATAAATGATATGTTCACATGTAGAATTATAGCCTACTGTTACAAACCATAGTACGTGAAGAAAATTTGAACGAAACGTTCATATATGTTAAAAAACGTGAGAACAAGACACCACAGCTTAGTCGTTCTTAGATTTTTAGCTCTGCGACTTAATGACATTAGGAGATTTTCCAAATAGTCTAGTGATTTATGTATCCTATTTATTCATATAAAAATTCAGGGAGTTTTTATATTCGAAATCCCCAATGTACATGGGTTTTTCTGAAACATAAACCATTCCTTTCCGCTATTTATTCTCACCCCCATCACCTCTAATCCCCACTCTTCAACCAAAAAGAAAAAAAGAAAAAAGAGGAAGCTCTTGTATTCGAGAGAGAGAGAGAGAGAGAGAGAGAGAGAGGGGAGAAAAACAATGGAGGGGAAAGAGGAGGACGTTCATGTAGGAGCAAACAAGTACTCAGAGAGGCAACCCATAGGGACCTCAGCCCAAACAGACAAAGACTACAAGGAGCCACCCCCAGCTCCGTTGTTTGAGCCTGGGGAGCTCAAGTCATGGTCTTTCTACAGAGCAGGGATTGCTGAGTTCATGGCTACCTTCTTGTTCCTTTACATCACCATTCTCACTGTCATGGGGGTTGTCAAGTCCCCATCCAAGTGCTCCACCGTGGGCATTCAAGGGATCGCTTGGGCCTTTGGTGGCATGATCTTTGCCCTCGTCTACTGTACTGCTGGAATTTCTGGTTAGTGAAATTCTCATCTGTTTCTTCCTTATTATTAGTTTTTTCCATTTTTTTTGTTGAAGATGCTCTTTAGATAACTTATTTTTGATACTTTTGCCTAGATCTATATATGTTTACCTTTTCTTAAATGTTGGTTGTATTACTTCTATACAGTTTTTGTGAGTAACAATATTTCAGCTCCATGAATCCATGAAAGGAAAACCCTTTTGATTAATTCAGTTCTTTTACTTGTCTAGTTGTCTTAAAAAATAACCCGTGTTTGTTTTCTCAAAAATCTTCAAAAATAACTCATGTTTATTTTCTCAAAAATCCAACTCATGTTTATTTTCTCAAAATCCAGCTAGAACTTTTCTTTGTTCATCACCTATTTCATTTATAGAAAATTAAACTCTCTTGCTAACAGATACTCAGGTTCAAGATCTTAACTTTTTGCTGCATGGGCTGGTGGGCATATTTGTGCGTAATCTTAAATTACAAAAATCACACACTAGCTAAAGCTTTGAGCTATATGATAGAAATCCTTTGCTTAATTCATTATCTGCACTTGCTTACTTTTTTTTAAAAATCAAAATCCAACCTTTATCTTCTTAAAAATCTAACAAGAACCCTTCTTTGTTCATCATAGAATTCATTTTTAAAAATTACAAAAGTTAAAACTCTCAACGAAATTCCTTAAGGTTCCAGATCTTAGTTACCTTATCTTTATAATTCTGAAATTTCTGATAGATACAAAAATCATACTCTCTAGCTCTAAACTCTCAACTCTATAAAACTCTTCTTTAATCAAAATTTTTTACTTGCATACTTGGTTTATTTTTTTTAAAACTCTGATGTCAATACATCCTTGTGAGTTGCAGAGTTTAATTTTCTAGCAAACAAACTCCTCAAGCGTCTAACTTTATTTTTTTTGGCTACAATTGCAGGTGGGCACATTAACCCAGCAGTGACCTTTGGCCTGTTCTTAGCAAGAAAACTGTCCCTGACCAGAGCCATCTTCTACATGGTGATGCAGTGCCTGGGTGCAATTTGTGGTGCTGGTGTTGTCAAGGGCTACCAGAAGGGACTCTACGAGTCTCAGGGCGGTGGGGCCAACGTCGTGGCCCCCGGCTACACCAAGGGTGATGGATTGGGTGCTGAGATTGTGGGCACCTTCGTTCTTGTCTACACCGTCTTCTCTGCTACTGATGCCAAGAGGAGTGCCAGGGACTCTCATGTCCCTGTAAGTATATTTTCCTCCGCTTCTTTGAGGGGTTAAATTTCACAAAACTTTACATGAACTTGGAACGGTTTTTGACATAATATGCCTAGTGAGATGAAAATGCTTGGCCTAACATGAATCTTGACGCACATAACACTATTACTATTGTCTATCGGTGCAAAACCATACTGATAGGAACTATATGTATAAATAGCCTAGCTGCATCGAAGAGAACTGATAGTGATGTGTGCATCAAGATTTGAGCTGTGTTACAAGGTTTGAAAGTCTAGGATTTTTTTTCTTAACATATGTGAAATTTATTTGGGCAAATTTGTCAAAAGCCATGTTCGAACTTACCTAGGAAAGATAGTTTGGTAAAAATAATTTATTGGAATTTGACGAAAATTTTGCTTGTTTGTTCAGATTCTTGCTCCATTGCCAATTGGTTTTGCTGTTTTCCTTGTTCACTTGGCCACCATCCCCATCACTGGCACTGGCATCAACCCTGCGAGGAGTCTCGGAGCTGCAATCATCTACAACAAGGACCATGCTTGGAATGACCATGTAAAGATCAAATAAATTCTAACGAAACATTTGAAATTTTTTGATTTTGAGTTTGTACTGACAAACTTTCTTATATGAAAATTTGCAGTGGATTTTCTGGGTTGGACCATTCATTGGAGCTGCACTCGCTGCTATGTACCACCAGATTGTGATCAGAGCAATCCCTTTCAAGAGCAGGCCTTGATCAACAACTCTCTTTAGTGCCCAATATCTCGTGTCTTGTTGCTGTGTCCTCTTTTTTCTCTTGAGTGTGTAAATTTAATTATGTTATCTATTGTAATCCATGGCAGTTTTAGAACTTGAAGTGCGATGTTGTTTTCTCTATTGCCTTCACCTCTGCTTTTTATAAAATATTATATGGTATCCGACTTTTGATGCGTGCTACTTTATTCATCCGTTTCTGATTAGTAAACTGATTGGCTAAAGTTATGAGTATGGATCATGGTTGCTATTATCTTATTATATTTTGAATTTTTTTTTAAAGAAATAGAAGCGATGATGTGGCTGTGGGTGGTATGTACGGTGGAATCACAACGCAATGATGGATGCATCTTTTGAGGTGTGCTACTTTATGTATTCTTTTCTGGTTATGGCCTGTTCGTTTGTTTTCTTAAAACCAAGAAATGGAAATGGAAATGGTGAAAATCTTAAAACTCACAATTTCCTCTATTTACATCCCTAAAACTCACCCATAACATCCAATAAAATATTATTTACCTCCAACAACTCATCCACATCATCTAATAAAATATGATTTTTATCTAACCACTCATCCATCACATCTAATAAAATATTATTTTCTTCTAACAACTCATCCATCACATCTAATAAAATATTATTTTCATCTAAACATCACTCAACTCATCTCTTATCATCATTTCAAATCACTCACATCATCCAATAAAATATTATAACAATTCACCTCATCTCATTAACATTTCATTTCTTCATTTTCATCCCAAAAAGTTATGAAAACACTTTTCTTAATCTTTCTTCACATCACCCAATAATACAATGACAACTCATCTCATCTCATTTCATTTCTTATTTTTAAGAATGAACCGAACAAAAGAAAACAAGAAACTACAGGAAATAGGTTTCTTATAATTCATTTCCTTATTTTTTTTCGCCAACCGAACACTCCAAAACTAGTTTTCTTAAAAAATCACAAACATCATCCAATAATAAGGTGACAACTAACATCATTTCAATTTTATTTCTTTGATTTCCTTCTTTTTTAGTCAACCAAACACTCCAAAAACAATTCTTCATTTTAATAGTTTTCCATTTCTTTGATTTCTCTCTTTTTTTAATAGTATAAACTGATTAGTTAAGTACATTATGGATCATGGGTGGTATTATCCTGTTATTATATATTGAAAATACGAAGGAACATGAGCAAATAAGGACCCGTTTGGACGAGATATTTTGCCCCGAAAATCAAAAATTAAGGCCCGAGTGGAGATAACATTGGTGTCCAAACTAGTTGTTTTAATTTAGCGAAATTCAGGCTAAGACTTAACTAGTTTTGTTAGGTTAAATTTTAGCGTTAAATTAGTTTATTGTTCAGTTTTGAACTAGGTTAGAAGCGGGCTAGTTTATCTTTCTTTTGCGAAATTGAAAAGATTTGGATTCTCTTCTCTATTATGAATCATAGTCAGTTTATTGTTTTCTTAGCAATTGCTATTAGAATGAGCATAATGCGTATATAATAAATATTAAAAATTAGAATAAATCATAATGGTCCATGATAGTGCATAAAATCCAAAGTTTCTGTCAAAAACACTGTTTGGATGAGAACCCTTATTTGGATTTTTTTTTCTTTTCTTTTTCTCTTTTTGTGATTTTACTTTTGTAAGTTTCGTATGAATGATGGATAGAACTGAGTGGGAAGTTGAATGAGTGGAGAGTTGGTAAGAAGTGACGTGGGAGTCCCCACCATCACATGGGGTGTTTATTGTTGTAGCAGCCTGGCTCTGTTTTGTTTGTGCTGTGCCTGTGCCCCATCAACAACATGAGGTATGCCTCTCCTGTTGTAAAGGATTGGGGCGTGGTGAGCGGTTTGATTGTCCTTGCCTCCGTGGATGCTATGCAAGAAAAAGTATTTTGTCTAGTATACTTTATATTTATATTTTATTAGGGTGACCATAGTTCGGTTTAAACGGAACAAACTGATCGAACTGGCTAAAATTTAACAGTTCGGTTTGGTTTTTATTAGAGTTCAATTCGGGTTGAGTTCAATCCGAACCGACCGAATTGTATTACTCATTCTAATTAGTATTTACATCCACTTAAACCCGATCAATTTTAGTTCATATAGAGTTATTTCTCTGCAGCTTGATATATTTTTCTCTCATGTGACTTTGATAGCGATAAAATACCCTAACAATAGTGTCCTCTCCAATTCTAGGGCTTTTCATTATCTCTAGTTCTCTATCCCTTTCTATTACTTATTCGCTTCTTCTACTTTGGACCAATCCACTTTGGAGGTAACAAACTTAAAGCATAATGTTGATTCTAACATTTTCCTGATTTTTCTCCTTGATTAATATATTTTTGGATCAGACTTCTCTTTGGATCAGACTTATAATTTTATAGAAACTATACCTAACATCCAAGTTGTTACATATTTTTTATTTACTTTGTCTATCAGATTGAGATCACTTTAATTCTTTATGTAAGTTTTCTTTAAAAAATTATGTAATCTTTGGTAGGAATAAGATTTTGATTTTTACATCAAATATTCAGTGTATTTATTACTTTATGAATTTTAATAAATTAAAGTGTAAGAGACTTCTTTTTTCGTCAACAGATTAGTGGTGAAATTAAATTTGGACATAACATTTATACCTAAGTGAAAATTGAACAAACCGACCCAACCCGAACCGAACCGACTTGAATCGGTTCGCTTCGGTTTTGAATGATAGGCAGTTTGGTTCGGTTTGGTCAAATTTGACCAAAAACCAAACCGACCGACCGATTGCACAACCTAACTTTATATAGGATTCTCAAGCTTTGGGAAGAGTCAAAGTTGAAGCTTGCTTTTAGGGGTGCGCAACGGGCTGTGATGGCTGTCCCGCAGGCCAACCCATGAGGACTTAGCGATGAGGCGNTGAGCGAGCCGTATTTTGCCCCTTATTCTTTGGCCTAGAGCTCAGCCTAGCCTGCTCGCCGGCCAGAGAACATGCGGGACGAGCCATGACACGGGTCGGTCCATTTGGCCCACATAATTATTTTTTAATATTTAATTGTTGTTAATAGGTTTTTTCAATATTGTTTAACACTTAAGAATTATATGTAAATAGCAATCTAACAATGAAATGAGTGCAAAAATTAAAAAACATAATTTTATTAAGTAGTATATTGCATATAATTACAGAGAGAACCATCACAAACACAAGGATTTAATGCAGGTCAGTGCAAGTTTTATATCAATGAGTAGCATATATAATATTGTTCCACTAGTTTAAAAAAACACAAAAATAAAAAAGTTATAATAAACTTTAAAGAAAAAAGATATTATTGTTAGGAATATTAGCTGTTTAGATAATAATTAACACGAAATTATGTTTTGAACAGACGATTAATATTAGATAAAAGCAGATTAATATTAAATCATAGAAATGAAATTAATTATAACGAAAAATAAATAGGGTTAGAAATACGGCCTGATGGTCGAGGCGTGCAAGACATTATCCCAAGAATCTAATTGCCCCCTCTCGTACAGGGCTACGCGGCAAAAGTTCTCGGAGATACAACGACCCTCGGTCAGGCGACCTCTTTCTCGTCAGCACAAGCTTTAAGAAGGATTTGTGAATTCTTCTCGACTTTCACGTGTGTTACTAGAGAGCAGCCCTGATCCCATAGTCACGGCCTCACAACTACACACATATAGGTGAATGAATCCTAATAAGGATGCGAGCAAGTAAGCATCCTGCCTCATGGGTCTTGAATTCATTAAGAGTTTAACTCAACCTTTCACTTGCTTTTTATGAGCACTGATCATCCTAGGGATTGGAACAAATAAATTAGTGCTCCTCATAATTAATCACTCGTCTAGTTTGTTTCTACTCATTGAACCTCTGCGAGGTTGGGTTGCCACTGCAGTGGTTTTTCTTATAAGGTTAATCTCATCCCCCTCGATGATTCTAGGACCACTATCCTAGATAAGCCTTTAGTTAAGTGATCTGTAAGATTTTTCTCTGATCTTACAAAATCTAAGGCTATTACATGATTTTTTCATCTTATATCCCAAGGATTTATGCCGCACTTTTAAGTGTCGATTGATCTTCACATTTGCATTCTCTTGATGATATTTGTCAATCGCTGACATGCAATCACAATGAATAGAAATAGCTGGTAATATTTTTCGTATTAATGGAATTTCAGTAAGTATATCTTTCAACCATTCAGCTTCTATACTAGTAGTATCAAGAGCTATCATTTCTGATTCCATTGTACTTCTAGCCACTACAGCTTGTTTAGTAGATTTCCAGGACACAGCTCCTCCTAAAAGGAACACAAAACCAATGGTGGATTTTACATTTACCGAGTCACTAATCCAATTTGCATCTGAGTATCCTTCTAATACAGATGGATAACCTTTATAATGTAAACCATAGTTCATAGTTCCTTTTAGATACCTTAAAATTCTTTCTAGAGCATCCCAATGACTCTTATCAGGATTTGATTTATATCTACTAAGTCTATTTACTGTATAAGCAATGTCAGATCTGGTGTAGTTTGTCAGGAATCCTAATGATCCAATTATTTGTGCATATTCTCTTTGTGATTGAGGATAACCTGTATTTTTCTTTAGATGTACATTAGGATCATATGGAGTAGAAACATGTTGACAATTTAGATCATAAAAGTTCTTGAGTATTTTCTCTATGTAGTGTGATTATGACAACACATATACATTCTCATTTTTCAAGATTTTAGTGTTAAGAATTAAATCAGCTTGACCTAAATCTTTCATGTCAAAATTTTGTGATAAAAAATATTTTATTTCATTTATGCTTTGTATGTCAGAGCCAAAAATAGGAATATCATCAACATATAAGCATAAAATCATAATTTTATTGTTATTATCTATTTTATGATATACACACTCATCTATTTGATTAATTACAAATCTATAGGATAGTATAATCTCATCAAATTTTATGTGTCATTGTTTTGGAGCTTGTTTGAGACCATATAGTGATCTAATAAGTTTGCATACTTTCTTCTCTTGTCCAGAAGTAACAAATCCCTCGGGTTGATCCATATAAATTTCTTCATCAAAGTCTCCATTTAAGAATGCAGTTTTAACATCGATGTATTATAAGTTCGTGAATGGATGCTAAAGCTATAAGGACTCTAATGGTAGTAATCCTAGCTACTG